CAATAGGACAGGGACGGTAGGCACGTTGGTGCGCTTATGCACGCCCCCTTACAGACCTCTTAGGAAAGGGGTGAGGTCAATAGTGGACAGTCTAAGGTTAAAGTTTTTGGGGTTTGGGGAATGAGACCAAAGAGTCAGGTAGTGCATTCCAGGCATTGACCACTCTGTGGCTGAAGTCGAGTTTGGAGTGGTTTACTTTGAGTTTGTATCTATTGTGTGCTCTTGTATCGTTGTAGTTGAAGCTGAAGTATTCATTGACGGGTAGGACATTGCAATGTATGATTTTATCTACCATACTTAGATCGGACCGAAGGCGGCGTAGTTCTAGGTTTTCGAGGTCTAGAATTTCAAGTCTGGTGGCATAAGGTCTTCTGCAATGAGTAGAGGAGTGGAGAACTCTTCTTGCGAAATATTTCTGGACTTTTCTACTAGGAGCTAATAACTGGCCCCTAAAATTCATGTGCGTGGAAAGCCAAACGGAAGGGTTCCTTTTGGCAAAAAAAAAACCAAAAACAAAACCCATGGCCCACCTCTGCATTTTTGGAGGGCCTCTTCATTTCTCACCCGGAGAGAGGATGCTCGGCTGCATCCCTTCCGCAGTCAGTTTCCATGGCAACCTCCACTTCAATGGAGCATTGTCAGGTTTTGAAGGAACAGAGGAGGGGACTTCAAAAAAAAAAAAAACGAGGGAAGAGGCGAACGTGCTCCCATAGGCCTTTCCTCCCGCAGTGGCCTCATGGTGGGAGCTGCCCACTTTTCGTGGACTGCGTTAAACATTTCAACTTTCTCTCCGCTTTTGCAAATATATAGTTTTTGATTATTATTTTTTTAAATCCCAAAATCAATTCAGAGGCCCAGGATCAAAAAAAAAAGAGTGTGTGACATCCCTTAAAAGGCTCTCCTCTTGCTCAATGCTCAAGAAGCAGTTTAAAATAAATGGTTACTAACGAACCATTTATGCTACATTGCTGTTTTCTTTAGCAAAAGAGATAAAAATGGCTTATTGCAAACGCACGGTGAATGAGGACAATATAAATCCATTCGGGTTTATCAGCAGTTTTCTAAGGCTCTGTTTCTCTTGATGTTGGATTTCATAACAGGCGTGAATATCGGTGTTCACACCACAGCTTTTCCTAACGTACACACACACAACCACCTCCGATAGAAATAACTTCATATTTAAGTTCTCACGGAAAGACCCCTCTGTTTTAAGGCGCATTTCTCTGAGGCTGTCCTCTGTTGTGCTCATTTACCAACGCGACTTTTAAAATAGAGATGCATCTTATGGTGCTCAGTTTTCCCAAGGGCACGTTGTTTATTTATTTTTCTTTTGAAGGCTTCTCTCGCCAAGTGATTCTCAATGCAGATTTTTGACTTGGAAAAAGACTGGGGCTCTAACGTACCTCAATATTGCTTTTGCCTGAATCGCAGTAAAACTTAATTTGGCCAAATCTGATTACAGGGAGTCTCTGACTTACGATCATAATCGGGAGTAGAATTTTCGCTCCTAAGCAAGGCGATCGTTCAGTGAATTGGGCCCGGTTTTATGACCTTGTTTTTGCCATGGTTATTAAGCAAATCACAACAATTGTTAGGTGAAACACCCTGTTGTTAAGCAAAACCAGCTTCCCCCATTGACTTGCTGGTTAGAAGCCAGTTAGGAAGGGCGCAGTGCTGTGACCCTTGTAAATATACGCTGATTGCCAAGTGTTCAAATTTTGATCACGTGGCCGTGGCGATTGCTGTGACGGTCGTAAGCGTGAGGACTGTCACAGCTCACTTTTTTCAGGGCCACTGTAACTTTGGTTGTTAAATCATCATCATCATCATCATCATCATCTGCATTTAACGACTCCATAATCCCTTGTGGGGTGGAGTATGGACAACTGAATGGAGCTAGCAGAGTGTTTACTGGCCGGATGCCCTTCCCTGTCACCAGTGTGGAGTTATATTCGGCAGAATATACTCTCATTGTGCCCAGAGAGAGAGAAATTTGCCTCTACCTAGGATCGAACTCACAGCCTCCTGGTTATGAGGTGAGAGCTCTAGGCCACCATACCGCTCAACTCTGGTTGCTAAACGGATGGTTCTAAGGGCCGGACAGTTCTACTGGAAACCCATGGAAGGCTCCTTTGAGAGCCCTAGTTTCAATGTACAACCTCCTATTGCAACAACAAGATCAAAGGCAACGAATTAGGACACTACCTTGTTTAACCAAGGGTAAGATAAAAAAAGAATTCAGAAGCAACTTCACTTAAACTAAGACTCAGGTGGGTGGAAGGTGAAATTGTTCTGCTTTGTCTGGAACTTCAGGCTGTGGCTACCGTATTAGGAAGCAGCAGGTAAGTTCAAATGCCTTTAGCCAGCGGCTTCTAGAAGTTGTGTCAATGCTTCTTTCTTGGAGTGTGCAAGACCTCAATAAAGAAAGGTTAGCCGCCATAAAAATGGATTAAAGTTGCTGGATCATAAACAAGAGTGTCCATTTCTTCCCACGTGGCCAGTGCCCTATTTGAGCCTGGATAGGTCTAACCAGAACAAGCCAGTTTCTGAGGTTACAGTCAGAGGGCAACTCCGGGAAGTTAAATTAGGTATGTCTCTAAAACCAGACCTAACAATATTGGGATCAGCTGCCACGCTGGATGAGAAAATTATGGAATAAATCCCTCAACTGCACAGATAGACTTATTATTATTGCTCGCTGTGTTATTTGCCAACCAGAATTCTTTGCCAAGCCCAGCCGGGTCTATCAGGAGACGAAAACAAAACCTTGAACTATCATCCAGAGATTCTCAGCTATTAAGAAGTGTGAGATTAAAATAATAATAATAATAATAATAATAATAATAATAATAATAATAATAA